CTATATATTGACCCCTGGCGATTCGCTGACCCTCTGGCGATTCGCTGACCCCCTGGTGGATCGCTGACCATCTGGCAATTCGCTGACCCTCTGGCGATTCGCTGACCCTCTGGCGATTCGCTGACCCTCTGGTGAATCGCTGACCCTCTGGCAATTCGCTGACCTGCGATTCGCTAACCCCTGGTGAATCGCTGACCCTCTGGCAATTCGCTGACCCCCTGGCGATTCGCTAACCCCCTGGTGAATCGCTGACCCTCTGGCAATTCGCTGACCCCCTGGCGATTCGCTAACCCCCTGGTGAATTGCTGACCCTCTGGCGAACCGCTGACCTGCAATTCGCTGACCCCCTGGCGATTCGCTGACCCTCTGGCTCGCTGACCTGGCGATTCTCTGGCAATTCGCTGACCCCCTGGCGATTCGCTGACCCTCTGGCAATTCGCTGACCCCCTGGCGATTCGCTGACCCTCTGGCAATTCGCTGACCCCTGGCGATTCGCAGACCCTCTGGCGATTCGCTGACCCCCTGGCTGACCCTGGCGATACGCTGACTCGCGATTCGCTGACCTCTGGCAATTCGCTGACCCTCTGGCAATTCGTGACCCCTCTCGCAGACCTCTGGCGATTCGCTGACCCTCTGGTGAATCGCTGACACTCTGGCCGCTGACCCCCTGGCGATTCGCTCTGGTGAATCGCTGACCCTCTGCGATTCGCTGACCCCCTCGCTGAATCGCTGAACCCTCTGGCAATTGACCCCTGGCGATTCGCTGACCCCTGTGAATCGCTGACCCTCTGGCAATGACCTCTGCGATTCGCTGACCCCTGGTGAATCGCTGTCCCCTCTGGCATTCGCGACCCCCTGGTGAATCGCTGACCCTGGCGATTCGCTGACACCATGGCGATTGCTGCTGGACTGACCTCTGGCGATTCGCTGACCCTCTGGCATTCGCTGACCCTCTGGCGATTCGTTGACCCTCTGCACTTCGCTGACCCCCTGGCGATTCGCTGACCCTCGGTGAATCGCTGACCCTCTGGATTGACCCCGTCTTCCGCTGACCCTCGCGACCCCCTGGCGATCGCTGACCCTGGCGCTGAATCGCTGACCCCCTTCGCTGACCCCTGACCCTCTGGCAATTCGCTGACCCTCTGGCGATTCGCTGAATGCAATTCGCTGACCCTCGCGCAATTCGCTGACCCCTGGCGATTCGCTGACTCGCTGACCCTCTACTGGCAATTCGCTGACCCCCAGGCGATTCGCTGACCTCTGGATTCGCTGACCTGGCGATTCGCTGACCCTCCGATTCGCTGACCCTGGCGATTCGCTGACCCCAGCGATTCGCCCTCTGGCAATTCGCTGACCCTGGCGATTTCGCTGACCCTCTGCAATTCGCTGACCCCTGGCGATTCGCTGACCCTCGGCGATTCGCTGACCCTGGCGATTCGCTGATTCGCTGACCCCATGGCGATTCGCTGACCTCTGGCGATTCCCCCATGGCACTACCTCTGGCATTCGCGACCCTCTGCAATTCGCTGACCCCCTGGCGATTCGCTGACCCTCTGGCGATTCGCTGACCCCCCTGACGATTCGCTGACCCTCTAGCAATTCGCTGACCCCTGGCGATTCGTGACCCTCTGGCATTCGCTGACCCTCTGGGATTCGCTGACCCTCTGGCAATTCGCTGGCGAATTCGCGCCCCTGGCGATTCGCTGACCCTCTGGCAATTCGCTGACCCCCTGGTGGATCGCTGACCATCTGGCAATTTCCTGACCCTCTGGCGATTCGCTGACCCCGCTGATTCGCTGGCGACCCCTCTGGCGATTCGCTGACCTCTGACCCCCTGGTGATCGCTGCTGGCGATGCCGCTCCTCTGCGATTCCTGACCCCTGGTGGATCGCTGACCATCTGCAATTCGCTGACCCTCTGGCGATTCGCTGGACCTCTACCAATTCGCTGACCCCCTGGCGATTCGCTGACCCTCTGGCAATTCGCTGACCCCATGGTGATTCGCTGACCCTCTTGCTGACCCCCTGTGGCTGACCCTCTGGCGATTCGCTGACCCCTGGTGGATCGCTGACCATCTGGCAATTCGCTGGCGATTCGCTGACCCTCTACAATTCGCTGACTCCTCGCTGACCCTCTGCAATTCGCTGACCCTGGCGATTCGAGCAATTCGCTTTCGCTGAATCGCTGACCCTCTGGCAATTCGCTGACCCCTGGCGATGCAATTCGCTGACCCCCTGGCGATTCGCTGACCCTCTGGCAATTCGCTGACCCCATGGCGATTCGCTGACCCTCTGGCAATTCGCTGACCCCATGGCGATTCGCTGACCCTCTGGCGATTCGCTGACCCCTGCTCGCTGACCCCTGGCGATTCGCTGACCCTCTCGCTGACAATTCGCTGACCCTTTGCCGCTGACCCCTGCGATTCGCTGACCCTCTGGCAATTCGCTGACCCCCTGGCGATCGCGCTGAATCGCTGACCCTCTGGCGGCTGGTGATTCGCTGACCCCTGGCGATTCGCTGACCCATGGCGATTCGCTGACCCCTTGGATGGTCCTATCGATCCCTAGGACTCGACATCGACCTAGTTCCTCGTAGACATTGTCGAAAAGACATCGCATCTTGCTTCTCATTTTGCTTCTTTAAACATAGCCTTGGCTTGTGTGGATTCGCTCTTCAGAATAGTTATTTGGCATCCATGTAGAGCTTCCCACTGTTTCTCATATATACACGCCTGTTACTTGATAGAGTAGGATTCTGAAGTATCTCAGGGTCACAGCATGTGATACTTCAGATGTGTAGGAGTAATGCGTGGGAGTCAGTATGTCGGTATAAAGTTTCAGAATATTACCACAACGTTTATGTAGTTAATATACTTATAGATAGTTTGACATATATAAATAGAAAAAGTCTGAGGCATAATTTTATGAGATTTTGCCAGTGGCGTTTTGACTGCTACGTCACGAGCAGATAGTTAAAGACTGGGCTAATAAAAAAAGGAAGTATCTTGGTTACATAGGATAATGTTTGTCGTTTTTTTGTAAACGAAACCCCTACTTGAAACACGATAAGAAAATCGAGAACAAATCTTGGTCACATGAGATAATCTTTGTCATTTCCTGACATGGGAAACTGATGCACTGTTTTTTTTTTTTGTTTTTTTTTTTTGGGGTGGGGGTAGTGTTGAACAAATAATGATGGGCAAATGGGGTGACGAAATAGAACACCATATAACCAGCCAATTACAGTAGTCTCCCGTTTCTCAATTTAGTATGATTTCGGTGGCTTAGAGCTTTTAAGGCATTCTGACCCCATTATGCGTCACAGCACATATAGTAAAACATATACGACACTATAACCTTTCGAAAACGAGGAAGGAACCGGTACTTACACAATCCCCTGTAATTCTATGTTGTTTATCCAATTAATGGATATCATGAATATTATCATGCAATTTCCCACCCTTATTCCTAAACCAATAATGTAACCTGCAGCATAAACGTCAAACAGAAAACTATAGTGTCCAAAAAGATCTAATGTCATTGAAAATAAGTATGTGACGTTAATTGGCCTCTGTATTTTTCTCTGTCTGACGTTCATGCAGCAGTGTGCATTATTGGTTTAAGAATAACGGTGGAAAATTGCATGATTGTCTTCAAAATGGCCATTAATTGCGTAAACAGCATAGTATGGCGGGGGTTTGTTACATGGCTATGACGTAATTGCATCTGATTGTTGCAAATGAAGGAGGTTTTTAGATGGGGCAAATTAGCTTTCTTATATGTACATATCTAGGCCTCGTCGGTTCAAAGGAGTATCTCGTTTGCGTCATTTAAACACCAGTTATCATTTTTTTATTGACACGGGCCTCGTTGGGCTATTGGGGCATCCTTTTTTTAAGCATTTTATTAAGGTAAGTGCAGCCATAAACAACGCACTTTGTGACATTTTGCGTCCTCAGATTCATTTTCCTTTATACTTCGTGTCCTTGAAATGTTGTAAATAAGGAAACACGTGTTTAAGTTGAATAGCATAAACAATGATAGTAAATAAATAATAAAATGAAGATAAAAAGGCTTCATTCGTTCCAGTATGATATATAGATAAGTAAATTATTGGATTCATGTCATTACTCGAGTCTTGGGCCTTCCTTTACTCTTTTACTTAAGGCCTTCTGCCCTCCCGTCATTATATATTTCTTATCTTCCTAATGTTCATACCATTCTTTCCATATCTATCAACAGTAGTCTTTTGAAAAAAAAACTCTAGTTTATGGTAATAATTTCTTGTCATTCTATACAAAAAACAAACAACAAACAAATAGAGCACATCTATTATTATAATTTATACTGCCAACGTTACGAAACACCAATTTCTACTCATACAATACCCGCTAGGCCTAAGCCTAAGCTGAAATTAACCGCGTCTAGCCTTGTGCAGTTATTGATATATATTATCATATTCCTCTGACGCGACCAACCGGCCATTCATAATTTGATACTGAACTAGATAGCATAATAAGAACCCATGCTGGTGGGTTACAGATTTACGTGCCTCGCTTTCGAAGACAGGTACCACTGATGGTAGTAGACACACACACACACACACACGCTCACACACACACACACACACACACACACACACACACACACACACACACACACACACACACACACACACACACACACACACACACACACATATACAAACACACACACATATGTATATGTATATATATATATATATATATATATATATATATATATATATATATAATATATATATATGTGTGTGTGTGTGTGTGGTGTGTGTGTGTATGTATATTATGTATGCATATAAATGTATATATGTATATAATATGTGTGAGTTTACATATATTATTTATCTATTTATTATTTTAGACATGAACTGTTAAATTGATTAAATATTTAGGTTATCGTCTTTGTTATTAGTAATTTGGGTTAAAATGTGTGTTGTGCTTCTGTCTTCGATTATTATTCTTA